GATAGCACTGAGGCCCTAAAAAGAGCCAGGTCCTCTTGGATGGTGGCCTGTGTGGCCAGAGCCCGGCCGAGAGAAGGGCTCTGGGCAAGGGTGGGAGGCAGATAGGAAGAGCCTGGGTGGGTGCAGATCTGGACTCTGACGGCAGGACAGAGGGACACAAGATCGTGAGTTCCAACTCCAGCTCTACCATCTACCGACTGTGACAGTTTGGGTAAATTAGCCTCTTGGTGCCTTGGTTCCCCCATTTGTATTTGGGGTACCAGTCATTCCTGCCTCTTCGGGCTGTCTGAAGTTTAAATGTGATAATTCCCGTAAAGGTTTCAGGACAGAGCCAGGCCCACGGCAAGCATCAGGCAGTGTTAGTGTTTGTAGCGTCTCTGTGAGGAAAGATGAGACAGGTCTGTGCTGGTGGGAGGGTGGCCACGGGACACATGTGGGCCCTGCAGACCTGCCCGAGACAGGGTAACCTAGTGGTGAAAACCCTGGTGCCAGTCCCAGGTTCCCCATTCATAGGCTGTGCGGCCTTGTTTCCGTCCCCTCCCCACCCTGGGCCGGGGTTTCCCTGTCCGCAGAGAAGGGTAACGATGCCGTCTCCCAGCCCTGCAGCCTAGGTATGGTGCTGCTTAGAAGGCACGCAGTCCAGTGCCCGTGACCGTGATTGTTTAATGAGGGCACAGAGAGGTGAAATTTCTTGTCCAAGGCCCCGCGGCGAGGACGCAGCCCTGCTGTGTTTGAGCCAAGGCAACGTGGCTCCAGAGCCCCTAGGGCTCCCTGGTCCCACAGCTGCCATTGCCCTGCTCATGCTGGTATTACTGGTCTTCAGGGGAGTGGACCGGCCCGGTCCTTGGTGGTGGGAAAGGTGTGGGGGTGACAGGTGGGAAGGAGCCGTCTCTGGCTCCTCTGGCCTCCAAGCCCCCTGACCACCGCTCTCACTGCAACCCGCTCTGGCTGCGGGGCAGCCCCTGGAGTCCTCTTGTCACAGAGCCATGCACCCTGGGGCCGCAGTGTGGTCCCATTTCTGGGAATCCCTCGCCTCTTGCCTAACCGTTCCCACTGGTGACAGAGCTCTCCCTTAGCAACCTCTTCTTCCCTTCTCGGGGGCTTCACCCTGAGCCGGGGGCACATCCGGCCGACAGGGTGGGAATGGGACCATTTCACTGCTGCACCAGCCGGGGGCTGGGGGCCCAGGGGGAGCTGGGGGTGGGTGCCTGCCCAGGGAAGAGTGCAGGGAGAAGGTCTCCCCTGGCCCAAGCCCGGGCGCATCGGGGGGTGCAGCCAGACCCAGGTCACTTTCATGGACATGCCGGTGGAGCCTGGCTCTCCACCAGAGGAACTGGCTCTGGCCTTGGCAATGGGACTGCTCTCCCAGATGCTCTTCCTCAGGGCTGTGGCCTCCTCTCCCCTCCATGCCTCGTGTCCTCTCTCGATGGGAGACCATGGCGGGAAGGAGAGCCAGACCCTACAGAATGGCAGAGAAGCTGGAAGGGGCTGTCTGGTCCTCTCCTGGGTAACGAGTCCTGCGTCTCCTACCTGTGTCATGTCGCCTACCTGTGTCATACTCTTTAACATCTTTGGGTCCCATCTGTACCATTCAACTATATCATTACTCTTGGTGGATAACTAGTCTCACTTGCCATGAAGACAAAAACAAATATTATTGAAACAATGAGGTCAGCTCCCTGAGGGCAGTGGTTTGTGATTTATTGCTGTATTCCCAGCACCCAGAAAGGTACCTGGCACATCACAGGTACTCAAAATACATTTTTTGAGTGAGGGGCCGGTAAATGAACAAATGCAGAAAGGAAAGAGTGATCTGGATACGGATGCTTGGGGAAGGCGCTAATAAAAAAGCCACACCGGGGGGCGCCTGGGTGGCTCAGTTGGTTAAGCGACTGTCTTCGGCTCAGGTCATGATCCTGGAGTCCCGGGCTCGAGTCCCGCATCGGGCTCCCTGCTCAGCAGGGAGTCTGCTTCTCCCTCTGACCTTCCTCCCTCTCATGCTCTCTGTCTCTCATTCTCTCTCTCTCAAATAAATAAATAAAATCTTAAAAAAAAAAAAAAAAGCCACACCGGGGTGCCTGGGTGGCTCAGTTGGTTAAGCGCTCTTGGTTTCGGCTCAGGTCAGGATCTCAGGGGGGTGAGATCGAGCCACACGTCAGGCTCCACACCCAGTGTGGAGTCTGCTTGTCCCTCTCCCCCTCTGTTCCTCTCCCCATTCTTTCTCTCTCTCTCAAATAAATAAAACCTTAAAAAAAAAAGCCTTGCTAACTCCAAGTGGAGACTTTCTTCTTGACATGCTCATTGTGTGGAGTGGGCTGCCTGCCGGTGCTCCTGCCCCCAGATACATGTGACAGCGTGAGCCACGTGTGTCTCCCCTTCTGCCACGGGAGGACCCTCTTCTGAGTCGGCCTTTCTGAAGGCTGGACGCCCAAGGTGAATGTCCGCTCTGCCCCATCCTCCCCACCGTGCTGGACAGGGCCATCTTCAAAGAGCGTGGAGTCTCTGTCCCTGCCTGGCAGGAGCCTGTGGGGGTGGCCGCCACGCCTCCTAGGCAGAGGCCTGGCACAGGAAACCTGATGTCATTCTGACTCACTGCTCAGATGAGGTTGGGGGTGGCTACAGCTCGTCACTCTCACCTTCATCCCTACCTGGCACAAGGATGCTGGCCACACCATTCATTTCTTCCTTCCCCCCTGGGCTTGGGGTGTAGGTTTGGAAGGAGGAGGAAGGCCCACATCAATACAGGGCTTGGCGCTTCATGATTGTGGAAGAGAAACCACTTTGCATGGGGGTTGGGGGGCTGCACTGGTGGGGGCAGGGGAAGCCAGGAATTCCAAAGGCAGGAGGTGAATGACACTTCACTGTCAAAACAGGTGGTTACAAATAGTACAGCATCCTTTATTCCAGTTTGGTATTTTCATTAAAAAAAGAAAAAATAACTGAAGCTGGGCCCCAAACTGACTCGATGGTGTCTGCTCTGTAACAGCCAGGCCAGGAACACAAAATAACCCAAAGCCTCCGTGTCTGGCACCCCCCCTGCTGCCATCTCTGATGGTCTAGTGATGAGAAGCGGGGTCGTCCCTCCAGATCCTTCCGCCTGTGGGGCATCGGTCTAACCGAGACCCCTCCTCACACTGTCTCCACCTGTGTGCCCAGAGCCCTGCCTCGTCTCTGCAGCGGGAATGGTGTCCCTTCAGGAGGTGGCAAAGGAGGGAAGACATCCGGCGCCGTGACCCACCAGAGGTCTGGGGATCTTTAGTCAGAGCAGGTGTGGGGGTGGGACGTGGGTTTGCCTCTCTTGTAAGGCTTTGGGCTTACACACAGTTATTGGGGGTGGGGGTTACCCCAGTTTGGGAAGAGGGGAAGGAGGCAAAAGGGAAGCCCCGCTTTCATGGCTAAGTCAGGCCTCCGTAAGCCTCTGTTCCAGAGCCGCAAAAGGGACAGCCCCGAAGCAGGTGGCATTGAGGGGGTGACATACGTGCAGCCACCTGAGGCGGAGCGCTGGGCAGGGCCCCTGGGACTGCCGCTAGAGCAGAGCTTTCACAGTGCACTCCCACTCCTGAGCGGGACTTCCCAGCAGGGCGCAGGCCGTTTTCCCCAAGGAGGGAGAGAGTCTGAGCCCGGCGTGGGACTCCGGGGTCTGCAGCCCCTACCATTGAGCTGGTTTTCACTCCTGAGCCAGGATCTCAGCTGGCCAGTTCTCTCCTCCTCCCCGAGGAGCTGGGAGGCTATGGCTCCTAGCAGGGCAGGTGACGCCAGCCCCACGGGTTAGCAAGACTGAACCTGACTATTCCTTTGCATGCTCTGTAATTTGCCCTCAGAATCAGCCATTAAGTCATTTGCTGGGCTGATGCCAAGGATAAGGGCCGCATATCAGCCTCTGGGATCTGTGGCCCAGACTCCCCGGCTCTGTTGTGGGCTTTGCCACATCAGCTTCCAGACTGGCCTGTAGGGAGGGACAGGACACTGCAGTGCCCAGACAGTGGTGTGGCCTCAGCCTTGGAACCAGTGTGGGTGAATAGCTAGCTGGTCTATTATGAACTCCCATCTTACAGATGGGGACACTGAGGCATGAGAGAGTGACTTGGCCCCAGGAATCTTTGGAGTCCTTTTGTCCCCTGGGTCCCCTCTTCCTCATAAGCACACACGAGCTACAAACTGTCTCAAACCTTGTACAACTGCATTCAGATCATGCTCCAACATACACAGACACATTGACACACCTTTTGGAGGAGTTTAGAGTTTATAAACCAAGTGGAGGGCTTGGGGGTCAACATGGGTCCTATCTGCAGCCCTCCAAGACAGTCTGGACATAGGGGACTGCAAGGGAGCTGGAAGGATCTTAACAGAGGGCACTGAGTAGTGATGCAGGCGAATGGGAGCCTAGGGGCTTGGGTTCTGAAATCCCACCCAGCTAGCGGTAGGGATGAGGGCAGCTCCAGGATGCTCTTCCATCCGCCTGAACATCTCTGCTTTGGAGTTCAGCTGTCAGTATCTCTTGCCCCCAACCCAGGGGCCCCGCTCCTCCCCACCACGCACACCTGGGCCTCACCACATCCCGTCCCTGGGCTGTCAGCCAGGGTGGGGTTGGACAGAAGGGATGTGGATGACCCAGCTTACCATTCTCAGTGCTCACTGCCTTGCTCAGGTGCCAGTCCGAGGTCCCTGCTGCCCAGGGGGCCTGCTACGGCCCAGGGAGGGCTGAGAAGGGGCACGGTAAAGGGGTGGAAGAGGCAGATTCTGGTAGTTCTTCTTCTTCCCCTTCGTGAGGCTCCTTGAAATTCCCACAAGGCCCCAGGGAGAGCCCAGCAACGTCAGCAGAGTTCCCCTTCCGAGCTGGTCTGTGACTTGGGGAAGTGCTTCACCCTGGGCCTCTGGGGTTTCCCTGGGCCCCAGGGGAAGCCTTGCCCCACTCTTAACTGGAAATGTATCATGGGCCACCTGCCTCTCCCCTGGAAGGCCCAGGGGGTCCTTCTCATGCCAATGTCCAGGGTCTTGGGCCCAGAGGATAACGGTCTGGACTAGCTTGGCCACTAACCTACTGCAAGACTCAGAGTGCTGGTCTCAGCCATGCCATGCAGGAGGGGAGGGGAGGGGAGGAGAAATTAAAGTTCCTCCTGGGCAAGGTTTCTAAGTAGAAAAAGAACATCTCAGCATGGCTCCCCATTCCCCGGTGTAGAAATCATGGCCATGTCCATTTTTGTTTGTAACAAATTCCTAGAGGGAAAATCCTGGAACAGAAAGGGAGAAAGGAGAGGAAGCGTGGCAAGGGGCACCACTGGCCCCAAAGTCTCTGGGCATGGGGATGTGCATCCGAGACACCAGTTCCCAAGGACTGAGCGGCGTGGTCAAAGGGTGGGAGCGTTCTTCCAGGCCGGGGCGCAAAGATGGGGGGCTGGCACCGGGGCCCCACTGACCCCGGCAAACCCTTTCCTTCAAGAGCTAGTCTCCGCTTCCTCCCCCGGCGCACCCTCCCCCCTCAGCCCGCCCCGTCCCCGGGGCCGGCCCAGCTCGCGCCCCTGAAGGCCGCGGGGGCGGGCGCCGGCGCCTTCCTGCGCTGCCCTTGTATGGTGACCCGGGAGGCCGGCCCCCGGGTACTTAAGCCGCGGCGCCGCCCAGGGCGCCCAGAACACTCGTTTCGGGCAGCGCGGCCGCCGCGAGAGCCGGGAGCGCGCGGTGGAGGGGGGGCGGGGCACGAAGAAGCGCCGTGAGAGGGGCCGCCGGAGCCCGGGCCGGAGCTATGGGGCTGGAGGCGGCGCGCGAGCTGGACTGCGCGGCGCTGGGCGCGCTGCTGCGGGAGCCGCGGGAGGCCGAGCGCACGCTGCTGCTCGACTGCCGCCCCTTCCTGGCCTTCTGCCGACGCCACGTGCGCCACGCGCGGCCCGTGCCCTGGAACGCGCTGCTGCGGCGCCGCGCTCGCGGCCCGCCCGCCGCCGCCCTCGCCTGCCTGCTGCCGGACCGCGCGCTCCGGGCGCGCCTGGCCCGCGGGGAGCTGGCCCGGGCGGTGGTGCTGGACGAGGGCAGCGCCTCGGTGGCCGAGCTCCCCGCCGACGGCCCGGCACACGCGCTGCTCGCCGCGCTGCTGCCCGAGACCCGCGCGGGGCCCACGGCCGTGTGCTTCCTGCGAGGTGAGCGCCGCCCGCGCCGGGCCCCCCACCCCCACCCCCACCCCACCGACCCCCGCGTTCCCACCCCCCCACCCCCCCGCCAAACCCGCCGAGCCTCTAACCGCCCCTCGCCCTCCCTGCAGGCGGCTTCGATGGCTTCCAGGCCTGCTGTCCCGATCTGTGCTCCGAGTCCCCCGCCCCGGCCATGTCGTCTGCTGGGGGCGAGAACAGCCGCTCTGACCCCAGGGCTCCCTTCTACGACCAGGTGAGCTGAGATCCGAGCTCCTTTCACTGTTCGGCACCCCCGGCCCCCCTCATTCGCGGGATAGGCACCTCTGGGGAAGGGGGCTGCCACTTGTGGATTCGAGGAGTCTCTCCATGTCCGCACTCACGTGTGTGTGTGTCCCCGCAGCAAACGGGAGCACGTCTTCGTGTGTCTGGTGCGGGCTGCTCATGAGGGCTCTGTCGGTGTGTGCCTGCAGCGTATTGGGGGCTTTGACGGGGAGGTGTGTATTTGTGAGCGAGTATCTCTGTGTGTCCCCTTGTGTCCTATTTCCCGAGCGTGATCCTGGTCAGGACAGGCTGAGGGCTCCTCTTGCTGGGGCCAGCTGGCCCTGTCTGCCCCCACGGGTGCTCAAGCCCTGGGGCGGCGCTGACAAAACCCCCTCCTCATTCTGCCGTCTCCCCCCCCCCATGCAGGGCGGCCCTGTGGAGATCTTGCCCTACCTGTTCCTGGGCAGCTGCAGCCACTCCTCCGACCTGCGGGGGCTGCGAGCTTGTGGCATCACCGCGGTCCTCAACGTCTCCCGCTGCCCCAACCACTTTGAGGGCCTTTTCCGCTACAAGAGCATCCCGGTGGAGGACAACCAGATGGTGGAGATCAGTGCCTGGTTCCAGGAGGCCATAAGCTTCATTGGTAAGAGGGGGGCCTCAGCCCAGGGAGCCCAAGGGACACCCGGGTGAGGGGCCTGGGCGCCTCTCACCTCCCCTGCGTCCCTTCGTGCCTGACCCCCCTTTTCCCCATGTGCCTTGCAGACTCGGTGAAGAACAGTGGGGGCCGGGTACTGGTTCACTGCCAGGCGGGCATCTCGCGCTCGGCAACCATCTGCCTGGCTTACCTGATACAGAGCCGCCGCGTGAGGCTGGACGAGGCCTTCGACTTTGTTAAGCAACGCCGGGGAGTCATCTCCCCCAACTTCAGTTTCATGGGGCAGCTGCTACAGTTTGAGACTCAGGTGCTCTGTCACTGAGGCAGGGCCGCACCAGGCTGCCCCCGCCCCCCCCCCGGGGGGGCGGGGGCACTGATTCCCTCCAGGTCAGGGAAAGCTGCCCCTTCTCCGAAGTTTGAAAAGCCCCCAGGTGGTGGTGCTGGGAGTGCAGGAACTCTGGACTTTCTCACCTGGTGCTCTTCTGCTAGGTTTGAGGGCTGGTCCTCTTCTGGGGACCAGCATGGAGGGCGTGTCTGCTCCCCCTCCCCCCTCTGTCTTCTGGTGGAAACTAACTGGACCGCTACACCCGTGGATTCCCACTGGTCCCACCACCCTGTTGAAGCCCTTGGCAGCCCAAGCGCTCCAAGGAACAAGCTGTGACAACCGGGAGCCCCGTCTGGGGGGTGGTCCACTACAGGCCTGGAGCCCGCGCCTTGTGCTCCTGGGGAGCGCCGCGTCTGCTGCGTGTGGGCGTCTTGCTCACGTGCGTGCATGTGCGTGTGTGTGTGAGCATGTCACGCCTGTATTGGTGCTGGAAAGTTTTTTGTGTTCAGCTGACATTTAACACTCCCTCCCCCACTTCCTCCCAGCCCTGTGGGCGGGGGTTGGAAACTTAGCACTTTATATTTATATGGAACATTGAGGATGTGTCAATAAAATACTGTTTTGTTTAAAAAGCAACGTCTCAAGTCAGTGCCTGGGAAAATGCTCACAAGCCGTTTCCTCATCAGACCTCCCCTTTCCTTGGGCGGCAGTGCCTGAGGTGTGGAAGGGAGAAGGTGCTCGTGTGAGCTCCCCCGTAGGAGGGGCCCTCCCGGCCCTGGCCGCCCTGTGTCGGTGTCCTAGCCCGGCGGCCTTCCGTCTCCAGAGCTGAAAGAGGTGGTTTCTGGGAGGCTGTCTCCAAACCTCATTCCTATTACTGGCTTTGGGCCCTGTGGGGAGAAGCCTATGTCCATGGCTCAGACCCCACTTCCTTTTTGGAACACGGATGGATATGTACGTGTGTGCACCTGGGTACGTGGCTGTTCCCGCGGCTGTTCCCGCGGCTTTGGGTGTCTGGTGTCCTCAGCTTGCACACACCTGCGTGTCACGCGTGCCTGAAGGTATCTGTGCATGTGCCCGTGTGGGGGGCTCTTCCAGTGGCCGAGCGGGCGTGTGCTAGGCCAGGCCTCCTTTTCCCCACAGTAGGGCAACACAGCCTCTCCCCTCTCCTCTCGCATCCCCAGGCAGGGCCTCCAGGCCTCGGGATGCCCGTTTGTGCTGGGGCTCATGGCAGCCTCTGTTCCAGAGTTCCTTCTTGTCCCCAGAAGCCATGTGGCCTCATGTCCGGTGCAGAGAACACGTCACCAGGGATGGGCTTAGTTGCTCTTTACACCCACCCATCTAGCATGTCTTGATTGAATATTGGTTACTTGCCTGGCTCGGGACTATGCCGTCCGGGGGTGGGGGGCGTGAGTCACAGGCCCAGCCGCAGCCAGAGTGGAGGGGTGCACGCGGAGGCTGCCGGAAACAGGCACTGTGATTTGCCTGGGAGCAGGGGTGCAGAGGCCCTTGAGGTCAGCTCTTGGACAGCTCCCCCCGCTTCATGCAGCCCCCGCTCCTGGCCACTGGGAGCCTCGCCTGGCTAACTCTTCGTCCTTCCAAACTCAGCTCAAGGGTCCCCCCTGCAGAATGCTGGCTCTTCCTCATGGCATTCTGCCTGCCTGGCAGGGTACGCCTCAGGGGTGGAGTTTGATGGCTAGGAGGCCAGTTTTGCTCCCTGTATTTCAGTTCCCTTGTCTGTAAAATGGGGTTTTGTCACTAGCCCCTGCCAGTTAGCATGGTATGGAGAATGGCGGGAGTCAATCCATTTAAGAGGCTTAGCCAAGCACCTACACATAGTAGGTGCTCAGGAAATGCTAGCTACTGAATGCCCGTGAGGAGAAGGTTCTCAGGTGTGTAGCTGTGCGTCTCAACCATGCTCCTGAGGGCAGGGCCTGTGGTCTGCTCTGCCCTCGGTGCCAGGAATCTGGCACAGGTCGGCATTCATTCCAACAGGCCTGGTGAAGGACGAGCAGCCTGCCCCGTGCCTTGTTCCCTCTGCTGTCTGGGGGTGGGTGAGGCGCTCCCTGGTCGGAACTGAGCAGAGCTGGGCTTGCGATCAAGGCTTTCTTAGGCTCTGAGTGGGCTTCCGTTTGGACCTGCCAACAACACTTAGCTTGGGGTAGGAGTGGAGGGCAGCTGGGGCTCTGAGTCACGGGGGCCTTCCCAGCACACGGTCCTACCTCACAAACAGCAGGACTGGTGGCTGAGGCCCCTGCCCATCCCACCCTCAGCCCTACCCCATCCCTTCCACCCACCCTCCCTGTCCAGCTTCCCCTACCTGTGTTTTTAAGTTTGTTTCTTTTTTTTGAGAGAGAGAGAGAGTGTGCAAGTGGGGGGAGGGGCAGAGGGAGAGAGAGAATCTCAAGCAGAGTCCACGTGCAGCCCCACGCCAGGCTCACTCTCACCACCCCGAGATCATAACCTGGGCTGAAATAGAGCCCATTGCTTAACCAACTGAGCCACCCAGGTGCCCCTTTCTGTCTCTCTCCTTCCTTCTTATTTATTTCTTTAAAAATTTTAAATTGTGGGGCGCCTGGGTGACTCAGTTTGTTGAGGAGCCCGCTCTTGATTTTGACTCAAGTCATGATCTCAGGGTCCTGGGATGAGCCCTGAGTTGGGCTCCGTGCTCAGCAGGGGGTCTGCTTGAGGATTCTCTCTGCGCCCCTCCCCACCCCCCCACCCCTACTCACGCTCTCTCTCTAAAATAAATAAATCTTTTAAATAAATTTAAATCATGGTTAAAAATATACAGCAAATCCCTCCTTATCCAAGGTTTTGCTTTCTGTGGTTTTAGTTGCCCATGGTCAACCGTGGTCTGGAAGCAGATGATCCTCCTTCTGATGTATTGCTGGAAGGTCAATAGTAGCCTAACGCTCTGTCACAGTGTCGACATCAAGCACCTCGTTTCATCTCATCACGTAGGCATTTTATCTCACATCCTCACAAGACGGGCAAGTTCAGTACAATCAGGTATTTTGAGAGAGAGAGAGAGACCCTATTCACATAACTTTAATTACAGCATTTATTAGTTGTTAATCTCTTACTGTGCCTAACTTGTAAATTAAATGTTCTCATAGATATTATGTATAGGAAAAAATAGGGTTTGGTATCAACCACAGTTTCAGGCATCCACTGGGCGTCCTGGGATGTATTCCATGTGGATAAGGGGGGACTACTGTATAACATAAAATTTACCATCTTTACTATTTGTTTTAAGTAGTCTCCACGCCCAGCATGCAGCCCAACACAGGGCTTGAACTCATGACCCTGAGATCAAGACCTGAGCTAAGACCATGAGTCGGACACTGAACTGACTGAGCCACCCAGGTGCCCCATCATCTTGACTTTTTTTTTTTTAAGATTTTATTTATTTGCGAGAGAGAGAATGAGAGACAGAGAGCATGAGAGGGAGGAGGGTCAGAGGGAGAAGCAGACTCCCTGCTGAGCAGGGAGCCCGATGCAGGACTCGATCCTGGGACTCCAGGATCATGACCTGAGCCGAAGGCAGTCGCTTAACCAACTGAGCCACCCAGGCGCCCCATCTTTACTATTTTTAAGTGTACAGTAATGTTCAGCATATTCAAGATCTCCAGAACTTTTCCATTTCGCAGAACTGCAACTCTGTGCCCATTAAACAACAGCTCCCTATATCCCCTTTCCCCTAGGCCCTGGCAACCACCATTCTACTTCCTGTTTCTGAATCTGACTATGTACCTCCTATAAGTGGAATCATACAGTATTTGCCCTGTTGTGAAGGGCTTATTTTGCTTCGCATAATGTCCTCAAGTCAAACTGCATTTCTTTTTCTTTTTTTAAGATTTTATTTATTTATTTGACGGAGAGAGACAAAGCGAGAGAAGGAACACAAGCAGGGGGAGTGGGAGAGGGAGAAGCAGGCTTCCCGCTGAGCAGGGAGCCCGATGCGGGGCTCGATCCCAGGACCCCGGGATCATGACCTGAGCCGAAGGCAGACGCTTAACGACTGAGCCACGCAGGCGCCCCTCAAACTGCATTTCTTAACTAAGAATCTGTTTCTCTATCCAAGCAGGGTGATTATTAGGATGATTTTAGCCAGCTCTCATCAGATGTGGCCAGTCCATGCATGTTTACATACACTAATATCCGGCCTGGGCGGCAGGGGCATCTGTCTGTTCTCCCCGTGGTTCCGACTGGTATCTTTTGAGAGATGTTGGATTCCAGGCATGGCAGGATGCTGAGAAGCACGTGTAGACAGTGGCTGGTGACCTTGCCTCAGCTCTGTCACTTCCCTTCACTGGGCATTGGTGGGGGAGGTCCCCAAATCCTTCACCTCCAGGATTTAAATCCAGGTGGGCCCCCTGGTGACCAAGCTCTGAGAATGGGCCTCTTGAGAGGCCCAGGAGCATAGAAGAGGAGGAATACGGGTAAGGAGCTTTAGTTTCTGGATCTGTGAAATGGGGATAAATGCCGATTTTGCACGGCTGTTGTGGGGATGACAGGAGCAGTGTCCATGCAAGAGTCCAGGTATCCAAAAGCTCCCCCATCTACATGGCAGGCTTCTCTGGGGTGCTGGTTACGCCGGGTGTTCAGTGTGTAAACTTTTCCGGATCCCTGCACTTGTGATTGTCCACTTTCCTCTATGTATATAAACACATAAAAATTAGTGACCTTTTCCTTCTTCCACAGATAGGCTGGGGGTGCCTCAGGGTCTCGGGCAGCTTTTCCCAGGTGTGAGCACAGGGCAGGGCGTGGCAGGAAAGGGGTCTTCCCCTGTTGGAGAACGAGGTCCCCTGCCCCCTCCCCCCTCCCCACCCCCCCCCGCCCACCTTAGCACCCTTCTGTGATGTTTCCCTGCCCCCTGGTGGAGAGAGGGGACCTCAGAAGAGGCACACTCCCCAGTGGTACCCTCCCTCCCTGCAGGGTGCTTGGTGCCTGGCTTCTCACCTTTTCCCCCACTTCAGCCAGGCTGAGAAGGATTTGACCGGGGTCCTGAAGGCTCCGGCCTGGGCTGGGGGGGTGGGGGCGGGGAGCACAGGTGGGAGCGGGCAGGGCTGCAGGTGGCGTTGATGGAGGCGGGGCTGCAAGTGAGGTTGGTTGGGGTGGGGCTGCAGGTGGGGGCTGGAGAAGTCGCTATTTAAGGGCTGGGTGGGGGCGGGGATTGGCGTTAGGTCTGCTATTAGGCGGGCTTGTCCTTGTGGGTGTTTGGGCTCCTGCTTGCTGTGGGGCCAGCGGGGCCCCCCACAGAGCGCGTGAACATGGGAGGCCTCTGGCCGTGGGTGCTTGGTCTACTCTCCATGCCAGGTAAGTGGGCTGCCTCGCCCTTCTCTTCTCCTCCAGCCACAGAGTGGGGGTAGAGGCAAGAAGGGTGTGGCCAGAGCCTGCAGGGATCCGAGCTGATCTGAATAACTCAGAAAACGGGCTCTCCAGGGATGCTCCCAGAAACCCGTTCCGAGGGGTGCCAAGGGAAGGCCTCCTGAAGACCCTGAACGCAGAGGGCCTGCCTGGCAGGAGGTAGCAGGTGCGGCACTCCAGACGTCCCTGTTCTGCTTGCGTGCCAGGCTTGCCCAGTCTGAGTCCATTTTCCAGAGGTCTGGGCTGAGAAGGGAGGCATGGGGCAGGGTCCAGGCTAGCCCGCACTGCCTTCAGTGTGGGTGTCTGAGGTCTGTCCCCGCCTCTCTTCTCCCTCCCCTACCTCATACCCACAGATACTCAGAGCCCAGTGTTGGTCCCCTTAAAGGAGCTCCTTCCTCAAGGTTGTCTAGCTATTGTCACCAGCTGGGACTGAGGGAAGGCCAGGAGGTCTTCCAGGACTACTTTCTGGAGGCCTGCTTTCCGTGAAGGGCCTGGCTCTGGCTGTCTGACCCCCTACCCCCCACTCCCATGTGCTATTGTCCTCTCTCACCAATGAGGGCGCTTCGGGCATCATGGGTATGCACCTGTCTGGGCCAGGTTTGATCCTAGGAGCGCCCTCAGCCTGCAGCTCCCCCGAAGCCTGTGGAACCAGCTTCTCAGAGGGCCTCAACCCTGAGGAGACCCAGACGTCCTGGGACAAGGACATCCCTGCGATTAACCAAGGTGAGGGCATGGCGTCGTCTTGTGGGGTAGAGGGGCTCTGAAGTGGTCCATGTGCTGTGGTGAAGACCATGCTGAACATGCAGCCGAGCAGAACGAGCTGAATAGGTGCCAGCTCACTGGGCTCTGGATGAGCAGCAGTTCCTAGTTCTATGGGTAACTTTTTAAAAAGTCTCTATTTCTGTATCTTCTCTACTGGATTGTCATTTTATAAGAAGATAGAAAAGCATAGGTTTTTAAAAAATGGCCTCATAAAAGTACGGGTCTTTGGGGTGCTCCAGCTAGTGTTGAGCAAAGTCATTAGTGGGGGTTTGAGATGGCAGCCACCTGGGGCAGGATGGTCTGCAGGTGTGAGGGCGTGCGCTGGGGGGCAAAGCCAAAGCCGCATGAGGCCTCACGCCTCCCTGTCTGGGGATCTCCGCTGAAGAAAGAACATAGAGATAGCCCAGGGTGCAGCTGCTGGGGGGAAAAAAAAGTCTGGATTTTGGAGGTTGGAGCTGAAGTGTTTGGGGAACAGGGTGACTGCCTGGGGGGATGAGAACCTCCCAGTGACCGCGTGGTCATGCTCCTCTTTCCTGGGAGCCCCAGCATGGTTGAGCGGGAGCAGGGCCGTGTGCCACCTTTCGGTGACTGGTCCGGAGGGAGCTAGAACCTAGAATCTGAGGCTTCCCCGGGATTGATTTTTTTTTTTTTTTTTTCAGTTGCCATAGAGGCTACTTAGCCAGGGCTGCTGGAGGCCCACTGGCTACCTGAGATGCCCTTTACTGGGAAGGACACGCCATCCCCAGCTGCCGGGAATGTTGGCTGCTAAGATCTCACAGCTGAAGGCCCTTGGCCAGGGATGGCTGGGAAGCTACTCCCTCCCCTGCCCAGGGCGGCCCACAGTGACTCGTAGGGGCCATGGGGCAGCCCCCTGCCTCAGTGTGGGACAAGTGTGTGGTGTCGGTTGGGGTCCAGAGCTCCTGTGGGGTCAGGTTGAGGCTGCACTCCAGCAGAGCCTGGGTCTTCCCCAGTGCCCCCTCAATAAATCACTTGCAGGTGCCTCCCCAGCTCAGGCTCTGCGTCTAGGGAACCCAACCTAATGTGCCTGAGGGCCAGACCCTCTTCCAGGACTCCTCGTAGGGCTGACCTCTTGGTAAGGAGGCTGGGCAGAACGGCTGCCTGCCCTGGCAGAAACCGAGGCTGGAGAGGGAAGCAGAGACAGGCTCACCGGAGCCAGACACCTTCCTTCTATGGTGGTGCGAGCTGGAATTGGGCACTTGTCACTGCGAGGGCCCTGACTATCACACAGATGGGGGATGAGGAAGGACAGGAGAGCCCAGGGCATGTTGGAGTGTGGCCGGGGTAGCTTCCCAGCCATCCCTGGCCAAGGGCCTTCAGCTGTGAGACCTTAGCAGCCAACATTCCCGGCAGCTGGGGATGGCGTGTCCTTCCCAGTAAAGGGCATCTCAGGTAGCCAGTGGGCCTCCAGCAGCCCTGGCTAAGTAGCCTCTATGGCAACTGAAAAAAAAATCCCGGGGAAGCCTCAGATTCTAGGTTCTAGCTCCCTCCGGACCAGTCACAGTCACCGAAAGGTGGCACATGGCCCTGCTCCCACTCAGGCGTGCTGGGGCTCACAGGAAAGAGTGTGGCCTGGGTTGGAGAGGGGGATGACATAGGGGACAGCTGAAGAAATGGCTGCTCCTGATTAGCAGAGAGGAAGGAGTTGGGCCTGGATTTGCGTGGGCTGGGGGAGCCATGGACTGTGTTCTAACAAGGGAGAGATGTGATTGGGCTGAGATCCATCATGCGTGTTTGTAGACTAGAGACTCAGAGGGACTGTGTGACTTGCCTGAGGTCACACAGCCTCAGGGTCCAGGGAAGCTCCACCTTCAGAGTCAGGAAGGCCAGACTCTGGGGTGGCTGCTGGGCCTGTCCCTAGAGTCTGGATTCTGGGTGGAGGGTCATCCACATCCCTCCCTTCTTCCCAGGGCTCATCCCAGAGGAAACCCCGGAGAGCAGCTTCCTCCTGGAGGGGGACATCCTTCGGCCAGTGAGTGTGAGCATGTACACACATAGGTGTGAATAACTTCACAGATAGCGTTAGAGGCCTTTGAGCTCAGCCTCCGGTGTCATGGGGGCGTGATACGTGAGGGATCCAAAATCTGTTGCTCATAGCTTGATAGATACCCTTTCTTGCTAAAGTCACAGTGAATGCTCTAGTAGGAATCAGCCAGACTGAATGGGAGGGAGGGTAACCTCTGCGGTGGTAACAGCAGTCAGCCTGGGAGGCCTTCCTGAAGGAGGGGGTTTGAGCCTTCAAGGTCCATCTTGGTGCTCTGCCCAGGGGAGGTGCTCTGCCCAGGGGAGGTGCTCAGAAAGTACTGGAATGAAGGAAGAGATGAGCACAGAACAGCAGAGGGGCTGGTGGGGCTGTAGGGAAGTGGTGGTGGGGAACCCCAAGGGTGGTAGCCATGGTCTGGGACCCCATCCTGGTAGGAAGGGAGGGGTGGAGTCAGAAAAGGAGAAGGCTGGGTGGGAACTGGGGTGACTTGCTGGGGAGAAGAGGATGCTCGGTGTTCAGGAGAGCAAGGCCATCTTCTTAGGGACTGGGTGGTAGAGGTGTCCTGAACAGGACAGTGACCTGGTGAGAGCAAGACAGTTTTGCTGGTTGGAGGCTGCCTACCATTCGTGCAACATGAGGCTGGGCTGCAGAGCCAAAGGCTGGGGCTGGTGGGTGAGGCGAGGCCCCTGTTCCTGGTCACCCAGTGAGGACAGGGAGGGGAGCGCGAATCCAGTAAAACCTGTGGTAGCCAGTGGGGCAGGACCGGCCAGGGTGCCATGGAGCCTATGCCTCGCAGGGTTTTGGTTGGCACAAGAGTGGAAAAGGAGTTGCTAAGGCCAGGGAAGTTGCCTTAACATCAGCCTGAGAAGGACCCTGCCTCATCTTTCTGTGGACGTTCAGGGATGCTCGGCTGACTGCTGGGTTTCAGGAAGGACGGGGCTGTGGCTGGAGCTCAGCCTTTCTAAATGGGGCCACCCTGGGGAGCTGGCACTCCTCATCAGCCTCCTCAGGAACAAGTGTCAGGTTTTGTTCCGCTTGACGGAATAGGTTACAGTTCTGTTCTGTAGGACAAAGGGTCGTGTTGTATATCGTAACTCACCTAGCAGGCCCCCAGATGTCCCACCCCTCTGTCCCTATCCTCCTATGCCTGCGTCCTGCTTCTCCCGTCTTTCGGGTTCTTGGGGCCTGAGACACGGCACCTCTGGGGGCAAGAAGCTTGGCTGACCTGGGTCCCCAGCGGTCCCTGAACTGCCCTCTCTCCTCAGAGTCCCTTCCGGCTGTTCTCAGCGAGCAGCAACAAGTGGCCTAAGAACGGGGGGTTTGTGGAGGTCCCCTTCCTGCTCTCCAGCAAGTACGGTGAGTGAGCGTGTGCACTCCGTCCTGGGAGCTGTGGGCCTCCCTGTGGCCTCAGCCTTATGCCCTGTGTAGCCTGGGCTCTGCTGGGGTTCTTCCCTCTGCCTCTACTCGCCTTCACCACCAAAGAACCCTTCCCCGAGAAGCCTTTGTTCCTGAGGGCCTCGGGAGCTGGGAGGGCTAAAAGCCCGGAAGAGCTGATAGGGGTACATAGAAGGACTGTTTGCTCCATTTCAAGGCCGACTGGCCCAGAGGACAGGGACCTACCCAAGGTTGCACAGCCAGGGCCTGTCTGGGACCCAGCTTCCCCTCCCCGTGACACTCAGGCTGCCCTTTCTTGACCTTTCCATTTTGGAAGAGTGCTTGGAAGCTCCGTTCCCACCCTGCATGCAGACTTGAGAGGGGTCACGAGGGCTCTGGGGTCTCTGCTGGAGGTTCAGCCGAGGTGTCGCCTCCCCCAGATAAACGCAGCCGCGAGGTCCTCCTGAAGGCATTTGCCGAATTTGAGCGCCTCACGTGCATCAGGTTTGTCGCCTACCAGGGCCAGAGGGACTTCATTTCCATCATTCCCATGTCTGGGTACGTGCTCCTGGGGGTGTCCGTGTGTCCATTGGTGGGGGGGCTTCCTCCGCGTTCTTCGGAGTTCAGCCAGGACTTAACTAAGACCTCGTCTAAAACCTGTCTCGAGGCCTGGCTTCCCAGGTCCAAAGCCGCCCTGCCCACTGAGTGGTTTGCTGGGTGGGAGCTGGACCTACAGATACTCAGGGCGGAAGGTGGAGAAGGAGGGGCAGGAGGTGCTTGACTCTCCTCACAAAACCCTGCTCTGCGGAGACTTCATGGTCTGGGGAACGGGTGCAGCTTCTGTGGGGCCCACCTGGCCTCCGATCCAGGTTCCACAGTGTAGGAACCACCTGACACGGGGCAAGAGCCTCTGAAATGGGGATGCTGGAGGTACCCACTTCCTAGCTTGTTGGGGACTGAAGATCATGTGTGAAAGCATTGACTCGGGGACCCCTGCATGGGGACGTTCACTCCATGAGCTGCTTCCATTATTGGTGCTCCTCTCCATCCCTCAGTCCTCCTTGTACCCCAGGCTGGGAATGGGAATTCAGTGTACCCATTTCACAGATGGCCAGGCAGTGAAGGGACTTGGGAACAGCAAGCCTGGGACTAGAATCTAGGATGGGGACTACCTGTTGGTGCTCATTCATCCCAGGACCTGGGAGAGGAAGGGGAAGGGGGCCTGGGTCTGCTCTGGATCTCTGGGCTGGTACCTACCCAGTACTCTCTCCTGGCCCTGCAGATGTTTCTCCAGTGTGGGACGCAGTGGAGGGATGCAGGTGGTGTCCCTGGCACCTACCTGTCTCCGGAAAGGCCCAGGCATTGTCCTGCATGAGCTCATGCATGTGCTGGGCTTCTGGCATGAGCACTCACGGGCTGATCGGGACCGCTATATTCGTATCCACTGGAATGAGGTCCTCCCAGGTAAGCCAAGTCGCGCACAGCACAGGCCAGGCCTGGGGGTCCTGGCGTGAGAAGCCAATGGCCAGGGCCGGAGTTGCCTGCCACTTAGAAGAGCTTATCCATCTTCCCCACCATCTGCCTGTCTACCGTGGGGAAGGTGGGGGCTCCTGGTTCTCTTTGAGACCGGGAGGTGGTCCCAATACTACTGCTCTGGGCTCCCAGCCTTCCATCTGCCTGCCCGTACTCCTGCCTGAGCTAGGGCATCACTATTTGCTTTGTGTCTCCTTTTTTTCTCATGAACACAGCCAGGTACCTGAGGATGGACCCTTGTTCATGGTGTCCTTCCTGTGCCAGACACTGCTGGGTGGGGTTGGGGCAGGGGGCTGTGTTCCAGGTGCACGGGTGGAGCCGAGACCGAAGCCCTGGAAGTAGTGGGCTGTGCGTGCCAAGTGTCTGATGCAGGAGGCTGAGGACAGCCTGCAGGGGCTCAGTCCTTGTGAGCTGGGTACCAATGGGCATGTGGGACAGAGGAAGCCCAGGGAGACCATGTCCCAAAAGGTGGCAGTGGTAGAGCCGAGGCTGTTCCTCCGAGCAGGAGCTGTGTGCTGGGTGTGGGGCTGAGTGCTGGGCATCTGATCTCAGGAATGGTGGGATCCCTCGCTTGTGGTGGGGGGGGGTACACAGCTTGAGTCAGGAGGTGAGAAGAGGAGAGGCCACTGCTTCATGAGGGATGGAAGTGGGGCAGATACATGATCAGGAATTTGGTCTGGGGGAATGTGGGGGTAAGGGGAAGTGTTGGAAGGCTTCCTGTAAGCAGAGAGCTTCTGGTGGGAGCACTTCCACTGCTGTTGTGGGGTGAGCCAGGTAAAATGGGTGGGGGAGGGTACTCAAGAGACCAGCATGCACGGAGCCCCGGAGAAAGGGTGCCGTGGGAGGAGGGGGCACTTGGGTAGCACCTTATAATGAGACAAGGGATGGAGTTTGAGATCTGAGATTAGCCTAAGGAAGGGGGTGATGATAGTGACTATACCCTGAAAATAGAGCCTTTATCCTTCCAAGTGCTCATGGAATACTTGGGAAAACTTACAATATGATAGAAAAACTTCAAATTTGAAAACGTTAATTTAAATGTTTTGATCATGATATAAAAATAACAAAACCCAAAACTTCTACTTAGAAATTAAAGTTTAAAAAACAACGATAATAATCCTTTCTTTTAGCTCCAGGGTTAAAGAATTGCAGGAATTCTTAGAAAAACAAAAACCCAACACACTAGAACTGATGGTTCTCAGCTAAAGCAATGCTCAGGGAAAATGTGTAGACTTAAATACTTCTATCAATAAAAATAGAAAAAATTAAGCATTTCAATCCAAATTAAGAAAAAGGAAAGCAGGAGGGAATTAATGAAGTTAAAGACAGGAATTAATGAGTTAAAAAACCAACAGCACTCAAACTCAAGTGGTTTTCTTAAGTAATTTTTCCCATTAAGAATGAAGAAAAATGAGAATATATTTGTATTATGTATAGAACAAACTGCTAAGATATACAAACTAATGACAGTAATGAACTGGGGATGGGGAGGCAGGACCTCAGAAGGGGGATGGAGTGGGAGGCTTATTATACATCTCAACATTTTTTGACTTTTGAACCAGATGAATATATTGTCTGTTCAAAACTGTTTTAATATCTTAAGGGTTTTTAAAAGGAAGAAGAACTCTGTAGAGGCAGGTATGGCAGTGACGGGGAAAAGTGGGTGTTCTGGCCAGTGGGAAAATGCTGGACTCAAACCTGGGGGGTGGGTGCGCCGGCCCAAGGCAGAAAGAACAAGGTGGCTTGCTGCTGGGGAATGGGAGTTCAACAGCAGCTGATAGGCTAGTGGGTCTCTAAAGCTGGGTTGAAGGGTAGGTACTCCATCTCTTGGGTAAGGGTGTTGAAGACACGGAGTGGTATGCGACTCCGTGGAAAAGTGTAGGTTCTACAGAGATAGTTGCATCGGGTGAGCTTGAGCAGGGCTAGAAGTGGAGGGCACTCTTTAGGAAGTCATGAGGTCCCTGTGCTTCCACATCAGCTAGTGCAGGTCTGGACCCCTCCTGGGGAGGGGAGGAGTAGGCAGAGAAGGCACTAAGGAGGTGGGGACCAGGGACTGGTGGTGGGGGGCACATCTGGCTATAGTTTTGGATCCTTCAGCTCACATAGGTTACAAGTGGCTGGAAGGCCCCTATCACCCGACCCCTCACTCCCCCACCCTCTTTCCCATCACCAAGTTTTGTGGTTGTTCCCCGCCCCGCCCCCCCCAGGCTTTGAAATCAACTTCATCAAATCTCGGAGCAGCAACATGCTGATGCCCTATGACTACTCATCAGTGATGCACTATGGGAGGTGAGGACCCCCTTTCCTTTCTCCCTTCTTCACTGCCCCTCCAGCCCCCATTGTGATCTGGACTCAGGTCCCCACTTGCTGGGTTTCAGGTTTGCCTTCAGCCGCCGTGGGCTGCCCACCATCACACCGATCTGGGCTCCCAGTGTTCACATTGGCCAGCGATGGAACCTGAGCACCTCGGACATCACACGGGTCCTCAGGCTCTATGACTGCAGCCCAAGTGGCCAAGGCCCCCGTGGGGGAGGTAAGTGACAGGGGGCAGAGTGATCTGAGGAATCTGGAGCAGGTTTCTATGTTGAGGGTGGTGTCCATGAGGGTGAAGTGGTAGGACTGAGGTTGCAGGGGTGAGCAGGGCGAAATCATCAAGGGTTTACCACAAGAGATGTAGAAAAAGCACTTGAAAATTCTCACTTATGATTAAAAACTTAGTAAACAGGAATAGAGGTCACTTTCTTAACCTTAACATGGGTATCTACCAAAAACCCGGAGCAAAAATCATGTTTAATGTAAAAGCACTAAAATCAGGACCAAAACATGTTTTTCCACTATTGTCTCATCTGTTCAATGCTGTAGTGAAGATCTTGGGCATTGCAGTACAGCAAGAGAAATAATGAAAACTCTGAGGATTGGGAAGGAGGCAAAAACTGTCACTACTCATAGATGACGATTATCTACACTGAAAGCAACAAAACCTATTAAATTATTGGAAGCAATTAGAATTTTATCTTATTCTTTAAAGATTTATTTTGGGAGGAGGGGCAGAAGGGGAGAGAATCTCAGGCGGACTTCCCCCTGAGCCTGAGGTGGGGCTCAATACCATGACCCTGAGATCATGACCTGAGCCGAAACCAAGAATGGGATGCTTAATTGACTGAGCCACCTAGGTGCCCCAGCAATAAGAATTTTAAAAGATGTATAGAAATTTCTATATTGATTATATCAGTAGTTGGAAAATGTAATTTTAAAAAACCCATTATAATAGCAATAATAAGGTCCCAAGGAATCAGTCTGACAGAAGTTCTATAAAAAGTTCTATGGAAAATTAACCTTTATTAAAATCATTAAAGATTCTTAAATACATAGAGAGATGTATCCTGTTCATTAATAGGAAGACAATGTAAAAATGCCAATTCTGATCTATAGATTCCATCAGTTCCCACTAAAAATCCCAAGAAGCTTTTTGGCAATCTTGACAAGGTGATTCTAAAACTTAAATAAAAATACAAGCGTTGGGACACCTGGGTGGCCCAGTTGGTTAAGCGTCTGCCTTCGGCTCAGGTCATGATCCCAGAGTCTTGGGATCGAGCCCTACATTGGTCTCCTTGCTCAGCGGGGAGCCTGCATCTCCCTCTGCCTGCCGCTTCCCCTGCTCACTCACTCTTTCTGACTAATAAAATCTTTAAAAAAATTATTAAAAAGAAACAAAACACAAAAGGCAAACAATAGCCAAGATACTCTTGAAGAAAACTAAAATGGTGGGACTTGCCCTAGCAGATATCAAGCTTTATAGTTTAAAAATATATTTATAGAAATGTATACCATACAAAATACATACATGAAATGTATGTATATAAAATGTCTAAATGCATAGAACTAGTGCAAGGATAGACAATTGCCCATTGAAACAGAATGGAGAGTCCATAAATGAATTCTACTCAGAAGTGGAGCCTTGATAAAGGGGCATTGCTGATCATTAGGGAAAGAATAGACTAGTCATTAAATGGCTCTAAGATAACTAGTTATCTATTAAAAATTCCCATCTCATGCACAAATACATCTCAGATATATACAAGACTTACATATAAATAGAAAATACTTTAGGAAAAAAAATAGTAAAATCCTTCATGACCTTGGGATAAGTAAGGATTTCTTTAATAAGACACAAAGCAAACCATAAGACTGGAAAGATTCACAAATCCAACTACATTAATAACTATTATGTAATTATTATAGTATAACTACTAATCAAAAGGCAAAGTGAAAATACAAATTACAAATCAGAAGACAACTTTTGTAACACATAACTAATTGTACCCAAAATACATATTATATAGTTAATATAATATACATAATAAGAAAAAGCTGGAAGTACAAAGTAGAAAACAGGCAAGACCCCTAATAAGCATCTCACGGGGGAAACCAAATGAGAAGTAAACACAAGACACTCAACCTCCTTCACTTGTATGTGAGTGCCCCTAACCCCAGTTCTAGATGACTGCCAATCTACATTCTGTCTCTCTAGGTTTGCCTATTCTGGAAATTTCATGTAAATGGAATCCTACAATACATGATCTTTTGTGACTGGCTTCTTTTACTTAGCATAATGTTTTCAGGGCTCATCCATATTGTATCATGTATGAGTCCTTCATTCTTGTCAAATGACACTCCATTGTATGGATATACGACATTTTGTTCATCAGTTGAAAAAGATTTGGGTTATTTCTACTTTTTGGCTATTATGATTAATGCTACTATGGATGTTTGTATATAAGATTTTATGCAAATGTAGGTCTTTTCCTTTGGATATATACTTAGGAATAGATTCCTGGGTCCTATGGTAACTCCAGATTTAAATGCTATGTTTTCCAAATTGGCTGCATCATTTTTCACTCCTACGAGCAGTGTGTGAAGGTTCAAATTTCTCCATGTCCTTGCCAACACTTGCTATTATCTACTCTTCAGATTATATCCATCCTAAGTGGGTATGAAGTGGTATCTCATTGTCGTTTTGATTTGCATTTCCCTAATGATATCTTTATATGCTTATTGGTCATCTATATATCCTCTTTGAGAAATGTGTTTAAATCCTTTTGCCGGTTTTTCATTTGGGTTGTCTTTCTATTGCTGAGTTGTAAGAGTTCTTTGTGTATTCTAGATACATGTCCCTTATCATACTTGTAATTTGGAAATATTTTCTCACGTTCTATAGGTTGATGGTGTCCTTTGAATACAAACATTTTTAATTTCGATGGGGGTCTAACTTCTCTATTCTTTAACCGTGCTTTTGGTGTCCTATCTAAGTAGCCTTTGCCTAATCCAAGGTCATGAAGATTTAATCCTAAATCTTCTGCATGTGACTATCCAGTTCTAGCACCATTTCTTAGGCTATTCTTTCCTATACATAATATCCAATATTACATGCTTTTTTTTTTTTTTAAGTTAAAAAGAATAGATGATGTGGCAAGAGCTTTGTGGGTGGGTATTCCAGAGGTTGGACTACTATGAGGAATGGAACTGGGAGGTGGTTGGAAGGGGCTGTGGGTCAAGAGGAGGTTAATCATAATGGTAGACATTCAAGCATGTTTGGATGCTGAAATGACCCAATGGAGACGGGAAAAAGGGTGGATTTAGAGAGCAGAAGGAATAATATCTAGAACATTTGGGTAGGAGCTGCCCTTGGTGGATAGGTCTCTGAGAATGTCTGAGATTCCTTGGACCTAATAAGGAAGACAGGAGCAGACCTAACTTTGCATGTGGATCTTGATGTGCAGATGCATGGGCTTCTGAGGGCTTTGGTCACAAAGCATGACAGGTCACTAGCCTAGATGTTGGGGAGAAGGGGATGAATGTGCGGGGAAAGGTGCGACGCTGCTGACTAGGTGGCAGAAGAACTGGCTGGAGACACCCCATAGGGCTGTGGGTGGTGCTGGGGCAGCTGGTGGCCAGGTGGAGGCGCAGCGTAGGTTGGCAACTTGGTTCTCCAGGACTGGGATTTTGTGGGCGGATGTGACAGGGGAAGGTGCTTGAGGAGTACTTGCAGTGAGGGCTGTGGAGCCCAAGTCGGGTGCGGAGAGTGGTCTGGAAGCGGGGAGGTGGTAGAGCAGGAAGACCTTGGGGTCCATGTGCTCGGTGGAGCTGAAGAGTTGTGATATTTAAACAAGTGAGCTTCGAAGTATAGGAGTGGGCAGCCGGGAATGGAGACTTCTGCAGTGGTGGTTTCTGGTACTGCCCACGTCTGGGGGAGCGAGCTGTGAGGTCAATGCGACCAGGAGGGAGAAGAGCCGCTGGTTGAAGCAGATCAGCCCTGATATGGTCAGTGTCTGTTGATGGAAGATTGGGCTCATTGTGAAGCGTTCGGTGCATGGGCAGGTGTGACGGGTGAGAGGCAGCACTGAGGGGATGGAGGGGCCTGGCCAGATATAACTTGGGCTTAAGAGGAGTTTTATAAAACTCTAGGGCCATGGTCCAGGAGTGGCCGTGAAGAGCGAGGAGGCCCTGTCCTGCTGAGTGCATGTGCCTGACCGTGATGGAGGTGGTTACAAGTGCAGGAGAAATTTGCAGGAGACCTCAAATGTGGGGTGAGAGGCAGGGGGTCGCTCAGTACAGAGGGCCCCAGGAGGTGGTGGGACAGTGGGGGCTGCTGTACTATTAGCCCTCGGCTATCCGGTGAGTTGACCGTCTGCAGCTTGGGCTCGGGGTGGAAGGTCATGGAAGATCCCTGTGGCCTGACCTGCTGGTGGTGACTGAGACCAAGAGGGGAGGGAATGGGATGGTTCTGTGGTCCTTGTTTTTCAGTGGGAGCTGAAAATTTGGGTCTTGAAGGTGTTGAGCAGGGGTGTGGCAGGCTGTCTCCAACGAGCTGTGGATAAGACTGAAAATGGCCAGGGCGCTCTACAGCGGGGCGGTGCATCTTCCCTCTGGGATTCTGGGATGTAACCTCTTATCTTTCCTGCTTCAGGGTTCCAGCCCCCCAGCGATGGTAGGAGCCCTACTCCTGTCTCTAGACCATACCTGCAGCGGCTTCTGAAGGCATTGTTGGCAGAATCTGGGAGCCCTGACACCGGTGGCCCCAAGGCTGGAGCCTTGCATGTTGCTGCAGGGCCCGGAGAGAGCCCACGTAGCTGGGAGCGCCCTGCGCCAAGGAAGTTCGCTATGGGGGCATCTGCAGGGCTGCTTCAGACCCCAGCTTCCTCCCTGAACTCCAGGCCTGGAGCAGGTGTTCCTGGTATTGCTCTAGAGACGTCCTGGCTGGCCCGAGTGCCCTCTGTACCCCCAACCACGGCTCCAGAAGCAGAAGACCAGCTAGTGCCTATCCAGGATGCTTTGGGGACCCCAGATCTGCCAGGAGCACATGTACCTGAAAGTCCTTTCAGGGGGATGCCAGGAGGTCGAGCCTGTGGCTTCTGTCCCCAAGGGGGAAGGGCATCCTCAGTCTCCAAGAGCTGGGTTGTGTAACCCCTGGCCTTCCCGGACAGTACCCGCTCTTCCAGCCCCCAAGATGGCTCCCCTGTATGAGGCCTAGGACTCTCCCTCTGTCCCTTCCTTCCCCATATGTTCTCCTGGGGACAAAGGGGACTTCTAGGTCCATCGGGGGCGGTGGGCGGGGGGGAGGCAGGCTTAGAGGCTGCTGGGAAGGGGAGAGGATACTCTCCAGGGCTCTGGAAGCCCAGGGGTCTGGAGAGGTGGGGCAGAGGCAGCTTCCAGCCCTGAAGGCCCCTGGGCATCCTCCCATGGGTGAGTCCCAGCCCCCCAGCATGCTCAGGTACTGCCGCCTCTCTCAGGCCAGGACTTGGGGAGCCTGTGGCTGGGACCCTGGGGCCAGCCTCCCATCCCTGGTGTTTGGGTGCTAGGAATATTACCCTGCAGCCTCCAGCTCCGCTCCCCAGGGGGCTTTCAGCTTGCTACCCTGCAGTGCGGGGAGGCTTCAGCGCCAGGAACGCTACCCTGGGGGTGCTGAGGAAGGGGTGGAGGCCTCCAGCACTGCACAGCGGGGAAACAGCAAGAACAGGAGGCCCTGAACGCATGACTTCAAGCTCTTCTCCACCCTGCTTTGCTGTTCCCAGGAGCCTTCCCCTCTCTCTCCCCACCAGCCAGGGACTTGGCCAGCGGAGGTCCTGGAAGATGGGAAGGGGCTAGGGAGGTGGGGGGTGGGGTGGTCAACCTGCTTTTCTTCCTTCAGCAAAGCCCTGTCCTTACCTCCTGGCTTGCTGTGTGAAGGCTTATAGGCTAGGAGCCCCCCAGTCCTGGAGAGGCACTATTCTGGTGGCCTGTTGGAAGCCCTGCTTGGAGTAGGAGGGAAGTAGGAGCCTGGGTCCGGGCCCCATGGGGCCAAGCGCCTCAGATGTTCTGGGGGAAGGCACAAATAAAATTGGGTACTTGCTCTAGGAACCAGGTACTGGGCTATGCATGAGCGCATTTAACCCTGCCGACTGACGTGGGAGGGGCCCTGGGGAGGAGAGGGACTCAGGGCAGCAGAGGGGCATGGCTGAGGGAGCAGCCCTGCAGGGCTGAGGCTTGCCGCGTTTCAGGGCTGGGGAGAGCTTGGCCTTTGCCTGCTTCCTGAGCCCAGTCAGGGGACATGAGGGCATGCTCTTGGGAGGCTGGAGCCTCTGCCCTTGGTCCATCTTGAGTCTGGGATTTTCTCAGACCGAGCAGGGGCCTGGTCTCAGGTATTAGCATCAGGGAAGGATCATGGGTTGGGGAACACAGTCCCTCTGTTTGCCCCCAGACAGGAGAGGATGATTGGCTGAGCGAGCTGAGAGTGAGTGAGGAGAGGTTCGGGCCCTGTTCCTACCGGGGCGGGGGGGGGGGGGGGCGTTCCTCTGGGAGATTCCCAAGCAAAGATCGAGAGCGTACATAGTACCCCCATTTATCAGAGAAAGGAGTGGGACCGCCTTACCCCTATGGGTCTCTTTAAGTAGTGGAGCCAGGCCTCTGGTGCTGGGTTGGGGTTTCTTAGTGGCCACACTAAGGGGGGGTGAAGTGCTTTGTGCCCTGTGAGGCCCTCCTAGCTCTCAGAGGCTGCCTGTCATTAGCCTCCATTAGGATGTGGCTTTTAGATTCTCCAGAATTTGGGTTCTCTAGGTGGAGCTGGCCGAGCCTAGTGGCTCAAGGGGGAAGAGTGCTTTCCCCCTCTTCTTTGGGGGTGACCAGGGCCGAGGCTGTCCTTGTCCTTACCCCATGAAGCCCCCTATCACTACAGACCCCGTTTCCTAGGCTTATTCCACAAGCCCCACCCTGCCCCTGTGGTCCAGCCTTGGTTCAGCCCCTGAAGCCTTGGCATGGGGTATGTGCTGTGGACGGGGCGCTGGCTGTTAACAAGAAGCTGCTGGCTAGCCACCCATCCCAGGGTCTGTGGCCTATTCCCTAATCCCCAAACACATAACTATGTGGCTTCACTCATCGATTTATTCACTCATTTGACAGAATCTGTTGAATTAGGTGCCAGGCTGGCTCGGCTATAGGAACTGGGAGTAACAAGGTGAGCAAGGCAGGGTTTCCATTCTCGTGGAGTTTATTTGGGGGTGGACGAAGGATGGACAGTAAATAGATAAAAGAAGTCATCAGGGATTTAGAAATGATGGGGGAGGAGGACATTCCTTTAGGATGCTGGCATTTCCACTGGGACCCGAATGATAGTAGACGACTCTGAAAAATCCAAGGAAATAGGCAGTGCAAAGGCTCTGAGGCAGGAGGGAGTTAAGGTGTGAGTAGAGGGATGAAGTGAGGTGGGGTAGGGGGAGGTTGGCAGGGCAGGGATAGAGAGGGATGGTTTTATTCCAAGAGCAACAGGGAGCAGCTGCTGGAGGATTCTAAGGAGCAGAGTGAGAAGATCTAAGCTTTTAAGTCATCCTGGATGCCCCGTGGAGAGTAGATTGGCAGCAGGGAGGACCGGTGGAAGGCACTACAGTTGTGCAAGCCGAGCGATGGGGCTGTGGAAAGGGGCAGAGTGGATGCTTTTGGAGCATGCTTCGGCAGGTGAGGCAACCGCACTTGCTATTGCCTGCAGGGGCTGAGGGCTTCCCATATGGCGCGGAGAGCTCAGGGGAGGTGAGGGAGTGTGTGGGCTGAATGAGCCTGGGGTTCAGGGCGGGAGACGGACTTCGGGGAGTCCTCAGCATCTGGTTGGGAGGTAGGGGCCTGGATGAAATTACGAAGAGTTTGGGTCCAGAAGAAAAGGGGCCCCAGGACTGAACAGGGGTGCTGCGACATTAGGGCAGCGTTATTAGTGTTTTGTGCCTCATAATTGTTTGTTGCGGGGGCTGTCCTGTACTTTGTAAGATGTTTAGCAGCATCCTTGGCCTCTACCCATTAGACGGCAGTAGCAACCCCCTTCCTCCTGCGTGACAGTCAGGAATGTCTCCAGGTGCCAGATTGCCAAATGTCCCTGGAGGAGAAGGGGCAAAAAAAAAAAAAAAAATCAGTGAGACTTGGTGATTGGGAGTTCGGGGGAGAAAAGGAGGCCGAGAAGAAGGGGTGGCCTCGAGCCTGCAGTGTTCTCAGGGGAGGGGGTAGTCTGTGGTCTAAAATGTTGCTGAGAAATTAGGACACGCTGGGTGGCATGGAGTCACAATGACCCACCAGGAGTAGATGCAGCGGAGGTCAGGGTGCAGATACCCAACGGAGGGTTAAGGAGTGAGTGTGAAGGGTGAGAGATGGTGCAGTGAACAGTCGGAGACAGCTGCAGGAGGCACGGGAGGCGGGGGGGGGGGGGGGGGGCTGGCCCTGGATCGGGGGAGGAGTGTTAGTGGAGGGGGAGGATTGCAGCAGCGGAGTCCTGGAGGACAGGAGAGGGCTTGGGATACATGCAGAGGTCTTGCCCTTCCAGCAGAGCTGGGGCTCGGATGAGTGAGTTCGGGGCGAGTTCCTGCCTGAGGGCTTTCATCTTCTAAGTCAGAGGCAAAGTCATGGCTTGGAGTGGAGGAGGGTGTGCGGGTGAGGAGGATGAGCAGGATACGAAGACGGGGAAAGGTGAGCAACACTAGGCAAGTCTGGAGATTTGTGGTCATAGCTTTAAAGCGAGGCCAGTCGATGCAGTGAGTGTTTTGCTCTGGAAGGAGCAGCTGTTCTGCCAAAAGCTGGGTGGATGATTTAGGTCGGCCCAGGATTGGGGTTTTGTCAGGTGAGGTGTGATGGGGGAGAGGGCGGCGGACTTGCATTATGGAGGGCATGACTCAAGGGTCTGGGAAGGTGGGGAGGCTGGGGCCTACAGGGTGGTGTGAGGATAGGGTCCCAGGGATTTGAAAGGCTGGGGCAGCTGGGGTGTGAAGCCCAGTTGGGCCTCATCCCCGTGGAGCCCTGGCATGGGAGAATCTGGGGCCACTCTTGGCTCTCAGGCCTGGACAAGTGGCTCCAGGGCTTTCAGCCAAGGGGGCATATCTCTTGCTGTGCTCTCACAACCAGGGATGGGACCACGGTCCCTGTGTCTTTGGAAAAGATGGTACTAGGTCACCTCCCCCCACCCCTTTCCAAGGGCATCCTTTGGGGACACCTTCATTTTAGGACACTACATGAGAGAGGCTCATGTATGTCATCCACTGATGCCAGGCTGCCACCCCCCCATCATTCAGCAATCTTGGCCAATATTGGGGACGGAGAAGGGATGTGTGCTCGGGGGTGGGGGTGCGGGAGTGATGCAGCAAACCCATCCACCAGCATCTCAGTACATCTCCGAGTGCGAACGTGGTACTGTGTACATGGCGTCAAAGAACTTGGAAAGCAGGGTACCTCTTTCTCCCTGGAAGGGCGGTGGGTGAGAGGTGAACGGACCTTGGAGCGTGGGGGGCCCACCAAGCACCTGGGAAGAACTAGAGATGTGGGAGCTCAGGACATGTCCAGGGATCAACAGGTAGCCTGGTGGGGCCAGGACGGCGGGCCAGTGCCCATCACGGGCTTCCTCTCCCGCTGCAGGTGGCTGGGGATGCTCTAAGGCAGCTCCTGCTGCTGGCGGTTCCGGGTCTGGGTCTGGGATTGAATTCTGCCAGCCTGGTGGGATGCAGGGACAATGGAAGGTCAGCTCTAGTCTGGGGACGGCTGATGCCATGGCCTGAGGCTCGGATTCATGCAGGGCTGGCTGGAGGGCAGCACAGGAGGGTGTATGTGGGGGGGACAGAGAGCTGCAGAGAGGAATGGGAATCTACTTATGTGATGGCTTCTGCTGCCCCAAGAGCCAGCTGCACATCTGGGAGGTGGGGCTGGTAGGTGGCAGCAGGGGGCACAGACCCTGGGGCTGTGGCTGAGCCCCACAGGTGCCTGTAGGCTCTCCTGGCTGCCCCTACCTGGGCTTGGGCCCGGGAGGGCGTGACACTTGGTAGATCCAGAGCTGGCTGCCGCTTCGGGGAAGGCCCAAGTGGAGGGAAGGGGCAGGGGGGAGAGAGTGAGCAGCCCTGGCCACAGCTCCTTCAGGGTCCTGGTGCCTTTCAAGGAAAACTCGGGCCAGGAAACAAAGGGCTGATGCTGATCACAGTGTCTGGGGAGATAGCCCCTGGCCCCCCAGTGTGA